ATTGTGAGAAAATTTAAAATTATATGAAACCATCACAGATTTCATTTTGATAATATAAATTATTCATTTTATAGAATCCTTCATATATACATGGTTCATTAAAAAATTAGATTGATATGATAATTATAATATTTTTCTTTTATCGTGTTTTAAAAAAAAAATTGATGATAATTATATTTTTTTAAATGGATCATATATTTTTGTACAGACAAATACATTAAAATAAAAATATTACGATTATCAAACTGATATAATTTTTTAATTGATAATATATATGAAGGATCCAACAAAATAAATATATCATCAAAATAGGGCCGGTATTGAACCCCAAACCTTCCAAGCTCTCTCAAATTCAAAATTATTTTTTTACTATATTAGGTTTCGAATATGCTTTTGGGGGCTGATGTAGGCAAAAATTGATTGACTCTTGCGTTTTTTTATGTTTTATTTGAAGTAAATTACAGTGGCTATCTTTGAAATTTTAAAAATAACCAGTAGAGTGGTAAGTTTTCTTATCTGCCCTTTTGGCTGTACAGCAGTGCCTGCTGTACAGCAGGCACCCCTCTCCCCAAACCTTCCAAGCTCTCTCAAATTCAAAATTATTTTTTTACTATATTAGGTTTCGAATATGTTTTTGGGGGCTGATGTAGGCAAAAATTGATTGACTCTTGCGTTTTTTTATGTTTTATTTGAAGTAAATTACAGTGGCTATCTTTGAAATTTTAAAAATAACCAGTAGAGTGGTAAGTTTTCTTATCAGTTTTTAGCTGTTTGTGTTTTACCATTTTAGACTACATGAGTGGAAATGTATGATAAAAGAATAAAAATTAGTATAAAAATTTCAAATATTATCTTATATTATTATATTAATGTTTAAGTATTAAAATTTTGAAAATAGATCGAAACCAATCACATAAAATGATTGTAATCCATGTCACATTATTGGACTTATTAGTATTAAATATATAATTAACCAGTTTGTTTCACTTTTGTTATATGTATATATGTAGAAATCACTTGGTAATTAAAAGATGCAGAAATAAAACATCCAACTAACATAGTAGTAATACTATTATCAAAGGTGAAGAAATAAAACATCCAACTAATATTGTAATATTATTATTATTTTAAAATAAAATAAGTAAAGGAAGTTAAAAACTAAAGTATTTTTATAAAATTTATTTATTCTCGAGTTTGACCCTATTTGCAGTTAAATTTTAGAAATTTGTTATATTATTATCTTTCATTTCATATTGATCTTCCCTATTTTGTACTTTTTCTGCTATAATCTTTTTAGATGTGCGATCCTTGTCATTCATCATGCCTAATAACCTTGTGAAAAATATGTATATATGTTCATCAGTAAGTTTTAGCGACTCAGAATAGGGAATACTAACGGTAGAATCTATTTTAGATTGCGAAACAGAATTGTTTTGAATTCTCCGAAGCAAAGTCAATTATTATTTGTGAAAGTGTTACAGTGGATTGTAACCAGCAGTTGTTCCGAATCCTCTGAAACAAAATTTATTATTAATACACAAAATCCAATTGAAAAAAACAATCCAAGGGCTATCAGTTTACCAGTAAGATCACTTGGAATCATTACTACTCATTCAAAGTAGATAAACTGCAAAAATATTTATTTATTTTATTATATATTTTTATGATTTTTTTGATTTGAATCTTACAAAATTTATCATTCATTGTTCACGAGAAGATAATGGAGAAAACAAATATTGAACATGCCACAATAGTGGAATTATTAAAAAAATAATAATCATATTATGGTATTTGATGGTGTTGATGTTTGAATACTCACCGTTTATGAGAAGGTAATCGAAGAGGTAAATATTGAACAAGCCACAATAGTAAAATTATTAAAAAAATAATCATATTATGATTTTTGAAGGCATTTAAATTTCAGAGGGTGTTTGGTTATTCGGTAAATGAAAGTTGATATTTGATATTAGGGTTCGTTTGGCTTTGGCATTTTTAGCCAACTTTTTTATATTGGGGTTTTTTTAAGCCTCGTTCGGTTTTGTTTTGGGGCTTTTCTGATTTTTGTGAGAGAAAAAATATAATGATTATAGGTAAAAAATAGTATTTTGTCTTATTAGCTTTTATAGTCAATTTTGTCTTTTTGTGATTATTTAGCCCCAAAAAGTTTGCCAAACCAGGGCTTAAGCTATGTTTGGTTTTGGCTTTTTGGCTAAAAAAAAACAAGAAAGACAAAATTGGCTACATAAGCCAATAAGACAAAATGTCACATCCAAATCATAATCATCACACTTTTTTTTCTCATAAATGTCAAAAAAGTCAAAACAAAAACCAAACAAGACTAAAAAAGTTAAGTTAAAACAACCAAAAAGTTAAAAAGTCATGCTATTTTAGCTCTTCCTAAATGAAGACTTAATAAGTTTGGGAGGTTATTTTTGAGATACGTAAAAAGTAAAAAACATGGCAATTCTTCACCCTTTTATAATAATAGTAGAAAGTATAGATACACCTAGTTTTTATAAACTTAACATAATCATATTAATATCATTTTTAGTAAAACTAAAACGAAAAAAACAACTACAAAGGGATCATCTTAATTAGTTAGGGAGTTTACTCCTCTCCTCTCTGATCAGGGTTCGAATTTCTTATTACTCAAGAAGAAGTTTGACAATTTAGATGGATCAGCTAGCTTCTCCTAATTTGGCTTGTAAGGGTGGATTCTAAAGATCCCGCCTTGGGAATGTTTTGGGCGAAAAAAAAAAAAAAATGTGGATAGTGCATGAACATATGAATAATCAAATAGTTTTTATATTTTTATTTAAAATGGAGTGAGCGACTAATAAAAAAGAAAAAAAAAGTTATACATTTATGAAATTAAAAAAAAATAAAAAAGAAAAAAAAAGTTATACATTTATGAAATTAAAAAAAAAACATTAAAAGAGTATAATTTATTCATGTCATGGTGTAATTTTTATTTATTTTGTTTATAAATATTATTAATTATTAATTATTTATTGGGCCTCTCTGTGGACCCTGAATTTCATAAATCCGGAAAGTTAAAGATGATACAACAAAAAAGGCCTGAACGCATAAAAGTACAATGGAATCCATGGATGGGTTTTGACAGTGAGAAAACAGCTCTGAATTCTTTGGGCCCATTCGGTCAATAGTTTGGTACGTTGGGCCTCCCAATTCACATTACACTTTTCTTATTTTGCTTGGTGAAGATTCACATTCAATTTTTTTTTTTTCATTTTTTTTAATATGCATGGAATCTAGGCTTTAAAATTGGTATTGGAGAATGTCATAAATCAGAATTTGTTTCAAGATGACATTTTATTTTAAGAAAATTTAGTCAAAACTTCTCTATTTATTACAAGAAAATTGGCCTATAACAACGTTTTTGATAGGACGTTTTTTAAAATAAACGTTGTTTAAAAGGATTTTAAAATATATATATATATTTTTGTTTGGTAAGTAACTCATTTTAAAAAGCACGCGTGCTACCTGGTGTACTTGCATATTTCCCTTTTAAGCCCTACGCATTTTTCATTTTTCCATTTCTCTCAGTCCCGATATAGATCTAGGGCTTCATCACTCCTCTTTCCCGATATAGGTTGTAGATCGTAGATCGAGCATCGTAGGCTCCGATTTACGATCGTAATCTCTATCCGACTCTCGTCATCTTGGCTCAAAGCTCTCGATCAGTCCGATTTGAAGATTAATTTTGTGAGTCTCATTCTTTGATTTTGTTTATATACGAACTCAGATTTGTATCTACGATCTCAGATCTGTTTGATATATATACTAATTTATGTTAAAAAGAACACAGATCGATCGATCGATTGATTTTTGGTCTATTAATCGCGATCGAACACTCTTCCTTTGATTTGATCGATTGATTTCTTTGGTTCAGATTTGTAAGTTTTAGTCCCTATGCGCATATTAACATCCTTAAACCGACTCTATTTCTGACTCTTTCGTGATGATCTTTGTGTTTGTGCTTCGTATGCAATTCTAGGGTTAGTCTATTGAAGCTAATGGCTGCTCATAGACTATATGGAAACAAGTGGGCTATGATTGCTAGGCTCTTCTCTGGTAAAACTGACAATGCAATGAAGTATAAGCCCAGTTACAAGCCTTACACCAAAATTGTAAATGGCTTTGCAGGTAATTGCCATTCCTTCTACTTTTGGTGCTCTGTAATCTCATAATGTCACATTTCTCTGGTTTTATTTATTTATTTGTTAACCATTTGCCTAAATTGTAATGCAAATTTGTGGTAACTATATTGTTGTCAAATCGTGAATCGAATAGTTAAAAAGTGAATCACAAATCATTTCAAATGGTGAATCATAATATTTATATTATTTAATATAATATATAATACAGTGTTTAAAATCGAAATGTATATAATGTTTAATAAAAACTAAATTATAAATGTATATACACATAAAATCACATATATCAATTTAAGTAATTACATTCTTCTATATATTTTTATAGTTTGGTGAAAACGACGATGTTTCATGCATTATATAAATAAAAATAGAAAAAAGAATTGACTTGCAGTGAATCGTGTGAATCTCAATGAATCATAGTGAATCATAAATGGAATTGTATAATTCACTCAATTTCCGATTGAGCAGCACAATTCGAATCGTTTTTGTTGAAACTCGTATATGTTTGGTTTTGCAAATGTCGTTTTTAAAATGTTTAATGTAATTATGTGTGAATCAGAGGCTGATACCTAAACTCTGTATAATTAAACAACATGCAAAATTTTTCTTATCTTCTTATTAGAGTCAACAAAAAAGTCGGTGTTGGTTAGCTTTTGATCATTTGGGTTCTTTATTTATTTGGAATTTTTCAAATATATTTGCCCTCTTCTTTTCCTTCATATAAAATTATACCCATTACTTTGATGTTTGGGTGCAAGCATATAACTTTCGATACTTGTTTCTATTTTTGATGTTTTCAATAGCAATTTTGGTTGTGGCTAACGCAGCAAAGGCCGTAAGTATGGAGAATATTATGGTGAGAATTTGTTGTTAGCTTTAGCCATCTTGTTTAAATTCAGTTAATGTTTAAACTGAGTCTTTTTTGTTTTTTTGATTTGCCAATCATGCTTAGATAGAAGTATATAGTAGATCATTCCCAACTTTTCCGAGTCCTATATGCAAGTTTTGCTTATTTTTTTCTCTCCCATATAATCTCTGGAAATACGGTTATTTTTCTTCAAGTCAGGAAGGAGCTGCTTTTGTTTATACTTTAGCAGATGGAATTGTCGGAGATTGGTTTGGAGGCTTCCTATATTCAGCTGGACAACAGGCTAACGAAGCTGTTTAGGGCCAACTATCGGCTCTCAGTTTTACTAGGTTCATATTCTGCATACTATTTCTAAGTTTGAATTTGGTCATTTGGGGACTTTATACGTATAGTTTTATCTGTTGTTCATGCATGTTCCTCTTTACAGCTTGGCTGTTATATTTGGCGCAAGGCTTGTAACAAGTGGGCAATGATTACAAAGAATGTTACATAAATTTTCAAGCTATGTTGATATATATTACTGTTATTAACTAGTGAAGTAAGTTGTTATCTTAATTGATGTGTAGTGAAATTTGCAGGTGAAAGCTTCTATTCAAGAGGCTTGTTTGTGAAATTGCTCAGTACTTCAAGGTAATTGAAAGGTCGTAATTGTTAAACATTGTCATATTTATTGTAATTATTTATTACCTTAACTTCACTTGCCTTGTATTCTTTGTTAGACACTCTACATTTTAATCTTGACATTGGGAAATTCTACTGTATTCTTTGTGGATAATTTAAGTTTTGATCTATGTTCATCTCAAAATTTGGGCTTATTGAATCTTGATTATTTATAAATAACCGACTGTGATAGGTTATGAACTTTTTTATTTTCTTTTCCAAATCTCTACTCAAATTCACGATCGAAACACTACCTTACACCCTCGGCGTTGATTAGTTTTTGGTCTTTCTGATTCTGGGTCTATTTCTTGGATTGATGACGTATTGTTGGACTTTACGTAGTTCGTTGCCTAGTTTGATTTAATTCTTTTCATATTTGTAAATAATAATCTAGTGATTGAAACCCCCTCCCAAAAAAAAAACCCCCCCCCAAAAAAAAAAAAAAAAAAAAAAATCATTTTGAAAACAATTTATGTTCCATTTCCTCTCCCTAGTGGCTAATTAAGTTTCACAAACTAATTTTGTAGCCGGTGAGTTTTGCCTTTTGTAACTATCTACAACAATAGAATGGAAGGGGGATATACTTATTGGTGGTTTGAAGAAATTTAAAATTTCTTGGATTGAATTAATAGATTAGTGGCCTTGTTCGTAGGAGAGACCAAAGATTTTACTCACCTAAGCCATTTTGCATGACAGTGAATTGGGCTTGAGAGTTTTTCACCTAAGCCATTTATAACATATAGGGATATTAAGAGAACCAAACAATTTTGTACCACCCCACTAAATCATTCACACATCTGATTGCCTGCGCAAGTGACTTGTTTTCCTTGACACTTGTATGCCTTGCAATCTTAGAAGCAATGTTCTATTCATACTGCTAGAGATAGAATTTAGTTGGTTTTGATACAAATCTCTTAATGGGTGTTGGATTTTTTGTCCTTTTCTGTTTTGTCAAGCATTTCATCAAATTCCAAGTTTTTGCATCTGCCCGAGACTGAAGAGATATGAGAATCATATTGGAAAAAGGAAAACACCTTTTAGTGTTTGACATATGAACTGTGTTTGTGACTTTTCTATTGAAATTAAGATGGTATTAGTTTGGTTTAATTGATTATTTTAGATGCACCAATGAGTTTTTCAGAATTTATTATACTTAGTTTTTGTTTCCTCACATGGGTTCCTCATTTATTATTACTTTGCTTTACAATAATTTCCTTAGCATTAACTGATGCCTTTGTGATGTGCTTGTTTGATCTATGACATCCAGCTCCTGTTATAAGTGGGGAACGGCTGAAAAAGTATGTTTTTCACAAAATATATACGGAGATGCCAGACGGACAGTTCTGCATCATTTACATGCACAGTACAGTGCAGAAAGAGGACAACAATCCTGGCATAACGATCTTGAGGTGGATCTATGAAGAACTTCCCCCTGCCTGTAAGGATAGGCTACAAGTTGTGTACTTCATTCATCCAGGGCTCCGCTCGAGACTGGTCTTTGCCACACTTGGCCGTTTCTTTTTAAGTGGAGGGTGAGTTTTTTTTTTTTTTTTTTTTTTTTTTTTTTTTTTTTCTTACTTATCCCAAAAAATAATTAATAAATAAACAAACAACTCAGTTCTGATATCTTCTTGGAGCAAATAATTAGAAATCCTTAATACTTTTTTTATGCTAGTTAGTTACAGAACGTAGACAACTATGTGAACTTTCAAAACCTGAACTATGCTTGAATTGTGTGGTCTCTATTTGGTTGCTGAGAGACCTAAGGGGATGAGAAGATGAAAATTTGAATTTGATGTTTTTTGTTGTTTGGGGGAATCTTGGCCACCAAGGATCCTCTAGAGTGAAATTTTCCTAAAGTTTCCTAGAGTGCTACATTGTGTGGTTGAGATTTACTGGCAAGTCACATCAAGACACGTGTCCACTGCGTGTCCGACGCGTGTCCGTGTCCGACACGTGTCTGACACTGGTACGGAGCCCTCGGAGAGGTGTCCGTGCTTCATAGTAGACAACTATGTGAACTTTCAAAACCTGAACTATGCTTGAATTGTGTGGTCTCTATTTGGTTGCTGAGAGACCTAAGGGGATGAGAAGATGATGAAAATTTGAATTTGATGTTTTATGTTGTTTGGGGGAATGTTGGCATGGGAGTCTTTGTTTTTTCTGGACGTGGAATTGTAGTATAATGAGCTATTATAGCATTTGAGATTTTTCTTCCGTTTTCTTGGCAATTAATGGAACTTTAATGTGCCAAACCTTCCATATTTCTTCGGTAGAATATGCTAAGTTCTGAAAATTTTATAATTTTTGGTTTTTAATTTCTTTCCATGTTATACATAGACATAGAGTTCTCAAAACTATAACTTAATGCTATATTTGGGTGAACTTTTTTTCTCACAAATATTGAGGCAGTGTATGGTTCTGTTGGCTTATTTTTCCTACGAAGGAAAATTTTATAAATGCGAGCGTGCTAACAAGGTTTGAAAAATCCTTACAGATTAAATTCAAGCCAATTATCAAGCGATTACGTTGACGATTCTTTTGCCTCAACAAAGAGGACTTCAAAATTGCCAAGTGTAGAAAAAAGAAAAATTAAAAGAAGAAAGAGGGAGACGGAGAAAGACGATTGAGTGAACAATCAAAGTAATCATTACTTACCTCTACTCCTATGCTTCAAAAAGGAAGTGCATAAAATGCTTCGAAAAGGAAGTGCTGAAAATAAATGCTTCGAAATATAAATCTATGCTAAACTACTCCTAAGATAAAGAAAATGACAAGAAATATTGAAATCAATTGTCTTTGATTATGAATTCTGGATCCCTTTACAATGTATCTATTAATGGCTATTTATAGAGGAAAAAATACAGCAATAACTACTTAGTAACTACCCATTTCTTCCATCTTCATTATTGTCTTGCCATGTGTCATTCCACTCATCCACTTTGTCCTTCATATTCTCCATCATCTCCATAACTTCTTTTAACTTCCAAATGAATAAGAGGATGCTACGTGTCCTACAATTATATAAAAAATAAAATTACAGATTTATGGTGTTAACGTTACCCCCCGCGGCCCTTAAAAATGATATTTACTTGAATTTTTGAAGGGTCGAACCAAGCACATGACTAACCTAAGCAGCAAAGTGCTTCGAATGATATAATAACACCAATAAAGTGCTTCGACTGAGCATGAAATTATGACTAGATGACTCGAATGCTAGCTATTATGGACTAGTAACAAGCTTCGAAGGTGGTATAAAGGACCAAAATCATCTTTCGAAGGTTGAAAGTGCCGACAAAGGACAAATTACTTCCTTAGAAATACTCGGTAAAGTTTCGAAGGTTCACAACCACCATTATTGTTTCTTCGGAGCTGTTAATGCAAGATGAAGTGCTTCGAAGCTTACACAATTATGGCAAAAGGGCCTTCGAAGCAACTTTTGGCCAACATTGTGGTAATTCAAATTTTGTATGTTCTGATTCATACATAATTAATGAAAACATTAATTTTGTGCTTCGAACCAATTATTAATTTTTCGAAGACACCAAAACTGTTGTTCTTCGAGCCAACTTATCATGCCAAAAATAGGCATTATTCGACAACTAATTAATTGTCATTTTACATATATTTGAAGAGAGATACATATTTCGAAAGTTTTCTCGCCCCATGTTACATTTCGAAGCTGTTTATTGATGACAAAACCACCCTTCGAAAGTCACATATGTTACTAAAGGATTAAAGTCGTCATTCGAAAGTCCTCACGACATCTCTTCGAACTAAATCCAAAGAGTTGAATTATTATGAAATTAATTTGGCATTTTAACATGCCATTAATGGCTATAAAATGATATTTCAATGAATAATCTACTTCGAAGAGTCTTGAGACATGCTTCGAAGGTAACCACAAAACCAAATGGTGATGGTTTTATGGATCAACTAATAACAACATTTTTGGCTCAATATATTGCAATAACGAAATATTATTTGTTAGCCATTCCATCAAAGTCAACGTTTGATGTGATCCACAACTCCAAAATGGATTTCAAACAACAAAAGTCATGGTATAGTGTGACCATGAAAATTCATACTTTTTGACATTTTGAAAAATGTCAAAAAATTTGAATTCATGAACAGTGGCTTGTTCATTATTTTCGACTATGTTTATTTTAAAAACATGACTTTTGCCGAATAGATTTTCATAATTATTTGGCAAAGTGGGTTGTTTTTCTATGTTAGCCATTAATGGCTTATGAAAATCACCCATGGATATGTTATTTTCATGACTTGACTCTCTAAAAATTAGTTTTGAGACCCCCCGAGCCATGCATGGAACATCATTCTTAGCCAAATTTGGCTCAAGAACATGCTCTTTTGTTATGTTAATTTCATAATTTGGCTCTTTAGAAACGGACTCTTGAACCCCCCGAGCCATTGATGAAATCAACTCTTTACTTTTACTATTTTTAACCATGGAAAAATTCTGAAAAAATTCACCAATTCCGGCCATTAAGGCCTCAGTTAAAGACTTGGTAGTGAGAGTTGATAACTCATCATTCCATTGGCGAATTTCCATATCAAGTTGATGAATTTCTCCAATTAAATAGTGTCTTTTTTCTTCCACCAAATAATATTGTAAGGGATGAAAATTTATTTCATCAAGAAAATGGATCTCTTCTTGACGATCCAAAATTTCTTGTTTACGGCAATAAATTTCATCTAGGCTATTTGAAATGGACAAATCCAATTCATTTTTCATTTATTACACTTGACGTCCCACTGGGGCGTGCCAAAAATTGTTGGCTTATTTTTCCTACGAAGGAAAATATTATAAATGCGAGTGTGCCAACAAGGATTGAAAAATCTTTACAGATTAAATTCAAGCCAATTATCAAGCGATTGCGTTGACGGTTCTTTTGCCTCAACAAAGAGGACTTCAAAATTGCCAAGTGTAGAAAAAAGAAAAATTAAAAGAAGAAAGAGGGAGACGGAGAAAGACGATTGAGTGAACAATCAAAGTAATCATTACTTACCTCTACTCCTATGCTTCGAAAAGGAAGTGCATAAAATGCTTTGAAAAGGAAGTGTTGAAAATAAATGCTTCAAAATATAAATCTATGTTAAACTACTCCTAAGATAAAGAAAATGACAAGAAATATTGAAGTCAATTGTCTTTGATTATGAATTATGGATCCCTTTACAATGTAGCCATTAATGGCTATTTATAGAAGAAAAAATACAGCAATAACTACTTAGTAACTACCCATTTCTTCCATCTTCATTCTTGTCTTGCCATGTGTCATTCCACTCATCCACTTTGTCCTCCCACTCATCCACTTTGTCCTTCATATTCTTAAATCTATGTTAAACTACGCCTAAGATAAAGAAAATGACAAGAAATATTGAAGTCAATTGTCTTTGATTATGAATTATGGAACCCTTTACAATGTAGCCATTAATGGCTATTTATAGAGGAAAAAATACAGCAATAACTACTTAGTAACTACCCATTTCTTCCATCTTCATTATTGTCTTGCCATGTGTCCTTCCACTCATCCACTTTGTCCTTTATATTCTACATCATCTCCATAACTTCTTTTAACTTCCAAATGAATAAGAGGATGCCACGTGTCCTACAATTATATAAAAAAATAAAATTGCAGATTTATGGTGCTAACAGGTTCACTAGAACGATTTTGGTTCAGAAAATGAAATGGCTATTCCTTGACCTCTCAATGGAATGGTCAATCTCCTAAATTGGTGATTTGTGATTCTATATGTACTTTTCTTTACTTTTTACGGAACCAAACATGGGAAATGGGATTTCCGACAGAATGACTATTCTATTCCAGCCTTCACTCCAATGTACCAAACATGTAGAGAATATTCATATTCTTGAGAAGTTTGGATAGTGTACTGAAAAGTAAATAATCATTATTAAAGAACAAAATGTTGTTTCTTATTCATTATGTATTTACTCTTGCTGCTTGAAGGGACTAAATATATTTTTCTTTGGTGTGCTTTTGTGTTTATAGGTATATTCATGAAGTAAGTTTGCTGCATTTGGATTGGATGTAAAGCCATTCATTGTTTGGTTGTTGTAACAACCCATGTGAATATTTAAGTTCGTTTAATTTATTTTTTGGATTTTGTGTACTGTGATATCATTTTTTATGGTAGTTGTATATATTTCCAATTATTATGCTTGTGGTTTACATTTGTTAGATATTTCAGTGTCCTATTTTGTAAGGATTTCCTGCTCTCTGCCAGACCAATCGTGATGGCTGAGAGCCTGTGAGCCTGCAAGACCAATCGCGAGACAAAAGACGGAAGTCTTATTCGATATGGATTTTTGACATCAGCTAGTTCAAGTAATGAATTTTTTTAGAACTCAACAAGTTTTACACTTGAATTACCATTTCTATGCTTATTAATTAATTTCATTGAAAAAATTAAACTACAAGCATGAGAAACACACATTCAAGTTAGAGATTTTGTTCCTCCCTGTTTCTCTGATCTCTACTAGTGTGAA